CGCAGTCTTTTCCATGACACTTACCGGCACCTCGGACTATCATTTTGCTGTTGTTCTCCAGCGAAATAGCTTTCATTGGGAGGAAGAGGCTTTTTTTTTAAAGAGTATTTTCCTCTGATCTTTCAACCGCTATCATTACTTGGGAGAAAGTCCCGCACCGGCATTGACCCTGAGCCGAGATACTGGACGCCCCACCCCGGGTCACGTCCAGCCGGCACTCCCTCCCCCTCGCGGCACGGAGGAGAGCTCTTGGGCGCCGCGTCAGTCAAGTCTTCAGTCACGTAAACCATTTTTAAGTCGCAAGTCACGGAAGTCATTGTTCAGTTTGGTGAACCGTATATACCACAGGACTTGAGTCGGTCGCGTGGTGAAGTTCGTGGCTTCGAACGATGCGGATATAAGAAATATCTTTGACTTGGATATATTTTGAAAAATGTTCTTTGCTGCTTAGCGTTGGTTTGCGGTGGCTGTTGTATTTATAAGCGACGTACGTATTCGGTTTTTAGAGATTTAGGATGATGCTTGGTCCAAGTACGGGTGACCGAGACCGCAGAGTTTTAGGGGATAGATGTATTACGAACTCAACCATTTCTTTATACGATTCTGACATATTTTATTGTTGTAATATTTGAAAATAAGAATTAATAGATGATGACACCAGTGATATTCACCAATAAAAATATCAAATTTGAGTATGAAGAATATAAAACAAAGATTCACTTACAGATATTCAAATATCAGCAGTTTATATAGTTTAAAATATTTGTTTTAATGAAATTAGTTCACAGAAATCCGCATAAGGTTAGGGCATCTAGTATTCCCACATATCAAACTTTCTGATGTGCTTTTTAGGGCATTATCTACGCGCTGGTTAATCGCCTAATTTCCGTCCGTGAGAGTCGTGACGCGCGAGCACTCAAGGAAGGACTTCGGAGAGGAAGGACGTTTTCTCCCGGGCGTCCGGTTCGGATCTTCTTCGTCTTCTTGTTTATGTTCTCTTGCAGACGAAGGCCGCGTGAACTGGCCGCTCGCGCTCTCGCGGCGGTGACGCGGTCGCTGTGGGGCTCGCGCTCCGACGGAAGAGGCGCTGCTCTCGCCTTGCGGAGGGGGTGTGCACGTTGGGGGGAGAGGACTCTTCGGACTCGGAGGGACACGAACTCTTGTCTCTGCATTGGAAAGAAGTGTGGCGTGCACGCACGCACGCACGTACTCACTCACTCACTCACTCACTCACTCACTCACTCACTCACTCACTCACTCACTCACTCACTCACTCACTCACTCACTCACTTCACACTCATCACTCACACACACAACACACACACACACACACACACACACACACACACACACAACACACAGCACACACACGCACACACACACACACCACACACACACACAACACACACACACACACACCCCACACACACACACACACACCACACACACACACGCACCGTACCACACGCACACACACACACGCACACACACACACACACACACAACACACACCACACACACACACACACACACACACACACACACACACACACACACACACACACACACACACACACACACACACATATATATATATATATATATATATATATATATATATATATATATATATATATATATATATATATATATATATTTATATATATATATATATATATATATATTTATATATATATATTATATATATATATATATATATATATATATATATATATGTGTGTGTGTGTGTGTGTGTGTGTGTAAACATGCGTGTCAAAGGATCACATATGTTTTCATCTAAATGCTTACATGTATGTTTGAATACATGCACGGAGCGTATGTATCTACGTATATTTTAGCATTTAGTCTTAACTGCTCTGTGAATTTTATATTTTAGAAGCTTGCGTCTCGATTTAATCTATAACAGTTTACATAACTCGATTTCACATAAAGTCTTTGAATTACCTCTATTTACATAACCTGCCCATTAATAACGGCAGCAGACATGACCCCAGGCGCAGGGGCGGCGCTGGTAGCTTGCTGCGCACGTCTGTAAACCTCCACGACCCGCCCCTCCGCCGCTTCTCCCCGCCCCTCCCCCCCTCCCCGGCACTCACCCCGCGTTCCCGCCGATAAATCTCCTGCCTGTGCTTGATAAATCCCTAGACAAACCCGGCAGACGCAGATTAATGCGAGTCGGTGTTTAATGAATGTTGTAGTTGGTGGCTGGAACATTACGCATAGAGGTCCTCGCGGCGGGAGGAACCCCGGCGAGCGCCCCCTCCCTCGCCCACCGCCCCCTCGCCCCCCCTCTGTCGCGTGAAGACGAATCGCTCGGCCGCAGCACCGACGCTAATGCACGGAATCGACGTGTTCATCTACATCACTGTATCTTGCTTATCTCGAAGGCACACAGCCAGAGAATACGCGCATACATAAACACAATACCCAAATGGACGGCAAATAGACAAACGTACTTTTATACTGGTATTTCACGGGTACATTATGGTAGAACAAGCTTCGGCACTAAGCCCCCTGATAATGCAGCGGCAGCTATCTATTAAATAGTTCTATTGTAGTACATATGGAATCAAAAGATTTTTAAACAACTGCTTTAAATCTTGTTGATATATGAAGAACTAGCAAATCATCGCATCTGTGTTCCTTCGAAAACAGCAGTACGGGCAGCACGAACATGAGATTGGGGCGGAGACCGTCTTGCATGCAGTGCAGACAAAGAGCCACTTTGCATTCAAATGTATAGATAAGATTTATCACTAAGTAATATATGTTAATGTTAGAAGAATGTTTAGCTACTGGGCGATATGTCTTAGCTGTACAAATATTAAAAACGTGGGCCTCTCTCTCTCTCTCTCTCTCTCTCTCTCTCTCTCTCTCTCTCTCTCTCTCTCTCTCTCTCTCTCTCTCCTCTCTCTCTCTCTCTCTCTCTCTCTCTCCCTCTCTCTCCCCCAGAATGGGAGGGAGGGAGAATGGGAGGGAGGGAGAATGGGAGGGAGGGAGAATGGGAGGGAGGGAGAATGGGAGGGAGGGAGAATGGGAGGGAGGGAGAATGGGAGGGAGGGAGAATGGGAGGGAGGGAGAATGGGAGGGAGGGAGAATGGGAGGGAGGGAGAAGGGAGGGAGGGAGAATGGGAGGGAGGGAGAATGGGAGGGAGGGAGAATGGGAGGGAGGGAGAATGGGAGGGAGGGAGAAAGAAAGGGAGGGAGGGAGAATGGGAGGGAGGGAGAAAGAAAGGGAGGGAGGGAGAAAGAAAGGGAGGGAGAATGGGAGGGAGGGAGAATGGGAGGGAGGGAGAATGGGAGGGAGGGAGAATGGGAGGGAGGGAGAATGGGAGGGAGGGAGAATGGGAGGGAGGGAGAATGGGAGGGAGGGAGAATGGGAGGGAGGGAGAATGGGAGGAGGGAGAATGGGAGGGAGGGAGAAAGGGAGGGAGGGAGAAAGAAGGGAGGGAGAAAGAAAGAGAGAGAGAAAGGAAGAGAGAGAGAAAGGAAGAGAGAGAGAAAGGAAGAGAGAGAGAAGGGAGAGAGAGAAGAGAGAGAGAAGAGAGAGAGAAGAGAGAGAGAAGAGAGAGAGAAGAGAGAGAGAGAGAGAGAGAAGAGAGAGAGAAGAGAGAGAGAAGAGAGAGAGAGAGAGAGAGAGAGAGAGAGAGAGAGAGAGAGAGAGAAGAGAGAGAGAGAGAGAGAGAGAGAGAGAGAGAGAGAGAGAGAGAGAGCAAGCTACATTTTTACAGCGCCGATAAAGCCCGACCAGTTACTGCAAACGAAATTATATGGAAAAACACTAAAAAATTGCTTTGGAATATCGTAACTTTCAACACCAGTGTAATATTTTTGCCAAACAATGCATTTCTAGCTACCATCACCCACCGAGACTTTATAATTTAAACACGTTTTATGACCTATAAAACATGGCATAATTTAAGTGCCTGATATAAACACCAGTTCACGTCGCACTAGGGATCATATGGTATGTTTCACGGGAGAAGATATTGCCAAAATATGCAAGCGTTGCATTTTTCGGCAGACCTTTTACGAGTTACGCCTTCGTTGTAGACGTGTCTGATAATTGAAGAAAAACTGCTAGAAAAAGCTAGATGTGATTTACATTTTGAACTATACATACATCCGTGCGGACATACATACATACTTGCATACATACATACATACATACATACATCCACGCACACACACACACACACGCGCGCGCGCGCACCCACACACACACACACGCGCGCGAGCACACACACACACACACACACACACACACACACACACACACACACACACACACACACACACACACACACACACACACACACACACACACACACACACACACACACACACACACACACACACACACACACTCCTCGCCATCCCAATCCTCTCGACCCTCCCCTCGCCATACAGTTGAAATAATCACAACCTCTGTGTCCGCAAACCCGATGATTTAAAAGCCCCTCCTTCGGGTCTTTGTCTCATCCCTCGCGCACGTCCATCCTATCCTCAGTCGCCGTGGAAAGAGGAGATCAAGGCACTCGAAAGAATTAGAAATAAAACACGTCTTGAAGGAAGGGATGATCGTGATCGGACACTCGGCCGAGGAACAATGGCGCTTGTGGCATCGTGTTCAGAGGCGCACGCGGCCGCAGATCATGGCGTCCGGGCCGGCTTTGTGGGCTGGAAAGCTCGTGCAGGATTTACCTAAATTCAACTGAAAGGCGAGCCATTGTGGCAGCGAGAGAAAGAGCCTTTTTAAGGAGATGGAGTGCATTACCTTTATGCGCAGCCGTGTCGCCGGCTCGCGGGGTTTTGTGCGGGTACGTGGAAAGGGGAATTAAAGCTGTTTAATGGATGAGATTAGCGGGGAAATCTCCCGTCTGTTCTTATTTGTATTTGAGCATTTTCTTCTTTTGTGGCTCTTGGTTTGCTGTTACCTGTTTGATTAACAGTGTGTTTTTTTCATTTGGTTATGGCAGGGAGAAAATAAGTGACCTAGAATTACTTGGAAATATATAACGAATTGAAATCTCAATGAAAGGGACTGACTTTATAGCTAACGTTTCATTGGATATTTACTGGAATTGCGAGTGTGAAATGTGTAGAAAAAATAAACGTATGCATATGACATAATACGATAGCTCTGAAAAAATGCAACAAAGAACTTGGTGATCTCGAGTCAACTGTAAAGAAAGAAAGAACGAAAGAAAAAGAAATAAACAGAAACCTAGTTATGGTAATGAACTAGCCGTTTTTTGTTTTGTTTTTTGAAGGTTACATGAAAATCTTAGATATGATATATAAAAAGATGGGTGTGTTGATGTAATGAAAAAATATGTGAAGGATTTTACGCCTCGCCCACCGCGGGTCACCAGAGGCGTGGCAGGCAGACTGGACGAGTTGGATTATGCGTCTCAGAGTGATGTCGCTGCGGCTCCAAGGGATGCTGTGGAGTAAGACATTAAAAGACAGATGAACTTCCGGGAGTCTGTGGTTTTAAATGGGATAACCATTGAACATAATCCATCGGAAAGCCTTCTTGAGCCGCGTCAGTAAGAAATACGTTCAGTATGCCTCACAGCCCCATATCGAGGACGGACTCGGGGTCCGTGTCCGCCATCAAGAACTTCATCTTCGGCGGCATGCTGGACACGGCCCGCTACCACCCCGACGAGCACGGAGGCGACTGCAAACGGAGCTTGAAATCGCAAGTGTTCAAGAGTCAGATTCTCAGATCGCAGGTCCTCAGACCACAGGTTCTCAGATCTCACATCATCAAGACGAGAATCACGAAAGCTTCGAAGGTCAACCCCGGGCTGCCTGAGGACGACGTCAACTTCCCGAATAATCTAAGGTCTCCCTACCCCGATGCTAGTCAAGCTCAAAGCGCCGCCAATTTCCCACTCACTAAAATTAATAACGTAAGATTCCCAAGCTTCCGGTGCAAAGAGAACAAATTGTTCAGCGAGGAGAAGGCGTCGCCGCAGTATGCATCGACGCCGAACTTGACGTCAGTGTCCCCCGAAAGCGACACCTCAAGGGAGGAGGTCACGGCGGGTGTGACAGGGACTCTTCCGCGCAACTTCAAGAGGAATAGCGGACGGCAGCTTCCGAACTCCGCTCCGGGAGCCGCGGCGACGGCCACTCTACCATCGTGTCCGCCGTCGGTGTGTTCCTCGTATATGTACGTGAACAGCGGCGCGCCCTCGTCTGACTCAGGATTCCTTTCGGACGCCACGTGCCCTGACTTCGAGGCAAGTGAGCCGCTAGTTGAAGCAGTCAGCACTCAGCACCAACCGAAGGATCTTAGCTGCCGTGAACGAGGCAGGAAGGCCAGCGACCCCTCTCTGCCCCCCGGGAGAGCGGCGCTGCACCAAGATAACCCTACCTACGGCTGTGTCCCGTCCAAGGCTCCCTCTGCCCCGTCCAGGTCCGCTGGCAGGGAAGGGGGGTCGACGCGCAAGGTGAGCAGCGTGACCCTCAAGATCGAGAACGGCCTCTTCGCCACCGTCGGCAAGGAGAGCAAGGGGCGCGCCAGGGACCGCCGGCCCCTGGACCCGGCTTTCCCCGACGTCGTGCCGCCGCCTCCTCCAGCCGTCGTCATTGTCCAGAAGCAAAGCCCCGAGGATCCCAAAGTGGACGAGGAGGCCGCGGCGGGCTGGAAGAGAGCCACCGTGACCATGAGTGGGACCTTCCTAGCGCGCTGCGTGAAGATCGAGGACCT